CTAAATTTCCCTCTACAGCCACATTTATTTGTATTGAATTTCCCTATACAGACTACAGAAATGTGTATATGTTTAAAGTTTCCCTCTACAAACACGTGTGTATGTTCTAAATTTCCCTCTACAGCCACATTTATTTGTATTGAATTTCCCTATACAGACTACAGAAATGTGTATATGTTTACGCTTCTAACAATAGTAATAACATTTCCTAAAATGTTCTAACTTCATCACATTAAACAGTTGCTTACAATAACTATATAAACACAGACTAGAACCCAACATAAGCTCTATTAGAATCCATTTGAAGCAACAATTGGACAATACATATTGTTAACTTGTTTACTACTTAAATTAAAAAAAAACGTTATTAACGAAAGAACGCAGATTTGAAGAAATATCTGAAACTGTGTTTTACTTCGGGCAATATTTTCACGTATGTTGTTCGTTTCACATTAGATCAGTATCTGACCAATCAGAATTAGCTTTAAGGTACAAATTATATGTTTTGTTCATATCTGAACCGTTTTTCTATAGACTCCTCATCTTTCTTTCTTTTTTTTTGTAAGGCTTACGAAAATATCATACATCTTTACATATTGTGTATGCATTATTCGATTTACATTTTCAAAAGAAACATAAAAAAAAACGACTATAGGAACAGAGATCTTAATAAGGCAGATCCATCTACTACAACGCATGCGCTCTGAAGATATGTCGGTAAGCAGTGTGCTAGAAATAACTCTATAAATACATGTGTTGTTTATTTACGTTCCCCATCAACAAGTTAATTAAAAATATTATTCCTGGCTTCCTTATTATAGAACACATAACACACGTGCCGATCTTATCTTGAGTCCAACGCAGGACATTAGATTTCATTTTCGAAGCAATCAATGCTGACAGAGTTCGTGGAAGCTTAGTTACAATTAAAGACGTTGCGTCTGATTGATTGATAGGAGGATGAAGTGAAAACCCTCTGTCGTACAATTCGAAAACTCTTTAACTCAGGTCAGACCTTTACGAATACTGAGGTTTTTTGTTGTTTATAGACTTTTAAACCTGATAATTAAGCTGGTTAAGGCAATGACGAGCTTTCTCGGTAAATACTTTTCAGTTGTTTGTTTGAGAATTTTCGCGCAAAGCTACACAAAGTCTATGAGAGCTGAGCGTCCTTAACGTCGATAACACCCACCGCCAACTCTTGGCATTCTAATCGAGTAGCGCGGTAAGAGGTTGTAAGTCAGACTGTCAGATTATCTGTTCGGGTACACTAAAAGCCACGCCTGGTCAAAATTTGCAATTTTTGAAAAACTTTTAAAATGGAATGAAACGACATTTTACTCATAAAAAACAACAATTAATTTAGACCGAGATAACCCTAGTGACTATACAATGCAGGCTATGCATCTAGGGAATTATGGTTCGCGTCCCTTTACCGATAGAAACAGCCCTCCCCACTTGGAGGACATTGGTGCTTTATATGAGTGACTCACTATTATATTAGAGTGTCCAAGAGTTAGCGGTGGGTGTTGTTGATTAGCTGCCTTCCACCTAGTCTATCGGTTGAAAAGTATGGAAAGCTAGTGTATGCATCTATTGTGTAAATTTGCTGTAATATTCTGAAACAGACAAACAAAATCAATTCAAGTAAAACTAGTCTTATCTAACTTTACAAAACAACAGAAAACGTTGTATATTTACATCTTGCTGGCTGTCGTTCTGCAGATTAATAAAACAAAATTAAAAACATAGTTTCGAGTTGTCCTATTTCGAAAGCCGGTAAGTTAAATAAATAGAGATAGTTTCAGTTTCTACTAGAAATCTAATTTAAAACAAGACATCACTAAGTATTCTCTATAAAATTAATTCGACTTAACTGGAGGAAATAAGGGACTTGCTTGGTCAAGGCATTTTTGTTTGAAATTGGTAAATGTGCATTTACTTATAATTTATTCCAAAAGATGGCCAAATCACTTTTTAAACGCACCTACTTTCCATAACATGCTCACATCTAGAGAGAGAGATTATTAGAGATTGTAACAGTAGTAGTGATACGTTGTATTGCTAATTTCTTGATTCTCTGTCCCTGTAATTACTAAAATTTCCTTGGAATTTGCAATTGTAAATATGCAAGTTTGTATTCAAAACCCTGTATTCAATGTTAACGAAAAGAGACAATGTTCATACATTATACATGGCTCCAGGCACTGTCGTTGTTCAGTATTAGATACATTATACATGGCTCCTGGCACTGTTATTGTCTATTATGAGATACATTATACATGATTCCTGGTACTGTTGTTATCTATTATAAAATATATTATACCGGGTTCCTGGCACTGTTATTGTCTATTATGAGATACATTATACATGATTCCTGGTACTGTTGTTATCTGTTATAAAATATATTATACCGGGTTCCTGGTACTGTTATTGTCTATTATGAAATACATTATACAATTATACATTATACAGTGTTGTTATTTATTATGAAGAGTCGCTCTGAAAAGCTAATTCCTAAATTTGTGAAGGTCAAGTTATCGAAAAACTTAAAACCAGTTTTCAGGTATTATCCAAAACATGAAGGAAAAACTCCTAAAAGCAACCCTGAATTCCAAATACCAAGAACTGGACTACTTACAAAAACTCAAACAGAAATTAGACCACCAACTAGCCTGCTACCTCAAGCCAGATGATTACGGCAATATACAACGCGCTATCAACCAAAACAACTCATTGCTGAATCAAGAAAAGAAGTCTATACACAATATAAAATTAGATCAACTAAGGAAACTACAACAACGTGAAGTGAAACACAACAATGCAGCTAGCCTAACCTTGTAATAAACAGATTTGACCGGACACTCAACGACACAGAACTTCAACTTCTAAACAAAGGCCTCAACTTTGCCGTCAACCACAAAACAACTCCATGCCTAGAGTTCAAGGCGTTCCTAGAAGATCTAGCCAGAAGACAAGTGACCCGCTACATAAAAGAACAAAAGATCACCTCTACCTCAAACATCCTCCAACTACAGAAAGAAGAAATCCATGACATCAACCAACAGACTTTTATCACAGGTAACGACAACAAAATGTGGTTTCCCGAAGCTCCCAAAA